GGGGGGGGGTGTACACACCCACGTATTTATATTTACCAATTATACCAGGAAATCCTTTTTCTTGTAGATAAAAATTTGCAGTTTCTTCTCTTTTGCGTTGAGATGGATATTTAATAATATTAGGTGCTAACAATAAAATAAAATCTGTTACTCTTGTAATTACAAAATATAATGCACTTATTGATATGCCAAATTTATCTGCTACATCTCGGTAAGATCCAGTTTGATGACCAACAAACCATAAGTAACATAAAATGTGTTTTTCGGCAGTTATTTTTCTATTTTCTACACGATCTAAAAACACGTATATAAAATATTCATTAATTGTAAATATTATTTTCAGTTTTGTTTCCTTATTTCAAGTTAAAAATAATACATACCCTGTATAGAAGTAAATATTTCCGACAATCTGAATCGATCTATTAAATCATATGATACTGCCCTCGATAGTCGAAAATGCATGATGAAATCTATATTAGTGTAATTATGGACTATATTTTCTATATAATTATTTATTTTAACATGCTCAATTCTTTGCATTATTCCAAAAATTGGATGTAATAAACGTAATTCGTCAAAATCTAAAAAAAATTTAGTAGTAGGTTAGATTAGATTAAATTAAATTTCTAAAACATTTTAATTTTTTTGACAATATAATAATAAATTGTACATAATATACAAATATATTACCATCATCATCATCATGCAAAATAGGTGCAAATGATGGCACTATATTTATAATTTCTTCATCAGAAGAGTCCAATAATTCATGCAAGATCAAGTGATGCGCCATGTTGATTAGTGCACTGAAACATTCTTTATCCTTGATCAATTCATCTTGTCCTCGCTTGCACTGGTTTAGTTCAGTGCAGTGTAGAATGAACTTAGTGCAGCAATAAAAAACAAACCTATTATACGCCTTGCGCTCGGTTTGCGGAATCAGCCGTATTTATTTATTAAACCGCGCGTTTAATAGCGACCGCGCCCCGAACGTTTCGCGCCCCCACACCGCCGCGCGCCCGCTTCGCGGGACTTAACTTCTTGTACTTGACCATTGCCGCAAGAGGTAAATAAAGAGATTAACTTACAACCAAAATCTATCGTCGTGTCTCACCACTTTCTCGAGCCCTGATCCCGACCGAGCTTTATCCGATCTCGCGAAAGCGGCTCGTTACAAAGTTGACATGTTTATCTCTTTTTTGCTCGCTCAGACGTATCGGGACAATGTTCTCTTTCTCGATACTATATACATTTATAGAGATATCGTTGGCAAGTTCAAATTTTTTAATTTGGTTTACTGTCACTGGAAACTCAATATCCTGGAGATTCAGTACTGTTGTATAATGTGGATATGAAGATTTTCGTTCCGCATTTCTTTCAACTAGATGTAGAGCGGCGATCACAGACAACGCAAAACACGCATTGTCTTTAGATTGCACGTTAATCACCGCTCTCTTCTTTATTATCGCCCGTGGCAATTTTATATGACATCCCGCGCGCATAGGATTATATTTATTTAAATTCACAATTAAATTGAGTGTTCGCGATAAAGCCCACCCGCTGTCGCCTTCCTGAAATTCTTCGAGCGATGCTAGAGTGGGTTCGATAACACACTGCTCGTACCACTTGCATAAATCGGACATGCGAAAGAGTTCATAGTTTCTTGTATCAAGAGACGCGGTAGCGTCTCGCTAAGTATATCTTTCGTCGTCTTTTTGTTTTACCGTAACAGATGCTACTGCGTATCATTTACCGGAGTGAGGACGTTTTTTGAAAATTTTAGAAAATGAATTCGAAATATCTCGTAAACCGGACCAACTTTTCGAGAGATGAACATATCAATCGAGAACATGGATTTTTCCGAATATAATAATATGAAAATGACACTGGTAGATGCACTTAATGTACAAATTTCGATATTTCATATAAATTTTTTGACCCAGGATATGCCACTTTTCGAGACGCCATGTTTGTCCAGGTTCACTGATACGCCGCTAAGCTACGCTGCTAGGCGTTTTTCCAGGTTCGCTGATACGCCGCTAGGATATGCGGCTAGGCGTTTTTCCAGGTTCATTGATACGCCGCTAGGCATTGCTTTGTTCGTAAGACGCCATATTGTTCCAGATTCACTGATATGTATATGCACGCACAAATACATACACACGCGCACACACGCAACGTACATATGCATGTATGCACACATACGTACGCGTGCACACATGCACGCACAAATACTTACGCACGCATGTATGTCATAAATATTAAAATAAAATAAATAATATATTAAATAATAATTTTTCATAACTATATTTATGTAATGTATTGCATTCTTTCTGTGCAGTATGGAATAATTCGTGAAGGCGAATTATGAAACCTGTATAGCAAAATCAAGAAATACGATAGCGACTCCCGTTAAGAGGATGCCGGATTACCGACAGAATGCGAATATTGCTTGCTTGCTTGCTTAGGTATAGGGTTGGCTCCGGCGAATACTCGCCATACGGCCATAAACTGGTTATAGGTACTATATAGGATAAATACGCACTGAGCCACCGGAGGCCCCCGAATGCGAATATTAGTAGGAATGCAAAATCTTTTTGTTGATTATAGATATCAACAAATCCTTTTTCACAATTAAGGTACACATAATAACGGAGTGCGGAGTTTAACATTTCATATGAAAAGTTAAAAAAAATGAAAAAAATTACAGTTTTGTTATCGGCTTCTGCCGTCACATTTACTTAATATAACAAATTTGTAATCTGTACGTGCCTAATCAGTAAACCTCGCACTCGGCATTTCATCAAAGAGTATAAGTGAACTTAGAGAAGTGAGTTTAGAAGCTTTAGAAAAAAGATTTTACGATGCTACACTTTCGTGCATATGTGTGTGTGCGAGATCGAGGCTCAAGAATAAAACAGAGCAGTAGATT